CTTCATGCTGATAGATGCACTCCCCTGAGATCCATCCCTAATGGCTTCCTTCCCCATTGCCACTATAGGATCTAGACAGGAACCCCCAACACAGGCCAGAAGGAATGGAAGAAGAGGGCTCTGAACATGGAGCCCTGAGAGGTGGAATTCCATGGATGGAGAGTTGGGAAGGAATCTCTCGGTCTTTCATGGGGGGCAGGTGGGTGCAAGTTTAAAGGAGAAGTGTACCTGGAATCCTTGTAATACAGTCTCGGTGAGGGTCCATCATGGGAACTGATGCACACATCCCCGTTGAGCTGGGCTAGGTGGGGCAGAGATGCTTTGGCCCTGTTTTGTCCTATGTCCTTTTCTGACAGGAAGAACTGGAGGAGAATGTGTCTTGGGGTAGTAGTGGCAAGAGAGGAAAAAGCACTCTTCCCCCCACCGTAGCTCTGAGCCTACACCCACCTAGGCTCTTTAGCTGCTACTGGCTTTTGCCTCACAGGTCCCTTTGGATCTGACCCTTCCTTACTTGGGAAGCAAGATCCATCCAGCAGGTGGGACTGGGGTCATGCAGAGTGAGTCTGCCCACTCCAGCCAGGACCAGGTTCTTGGCGATCTCAACACCTAGCCCTTTCATGCCAGACACCAGCATGGAAGACGCCCGTAGCCTCCTCATGGCTTCTGTTCCCAGAACATACCTTGAGGGGTGGAGAAAGTTGTGGTCAGCCGATTGGCCTCCTATTACTGTTACCCAACTCCCCTTCAGAAAAGATGGGTTAAAATTTGGCTTCTTGCCAACCTGTGCAGTCACTCCCCCTCCCCCACAGTGGCGCCCCCCACCCCCATCCTCTTGTACTTACAGTTGTCGGGAATACAGTTGTTCATTGATATCCAAATTTGTCTTGAGGTCACCCATTCTCTTATAAGGACTCTCTCTACTCACTCAGATAACCAGCCAGACACTCAACTGGACAGAAAAAAAACCATGCCCCCACCTCCCACCTCTGGCAGACACCCAGTTAAATCCTACTGGCCCTAATCCCCAGACAGAGCTACAAACAGCTGATCAGCGTGGCCCTACGCTCCCAGAGGTGGCTCAGAGTTATGAAAGCCAATGCCTGCCTCCTCTTCTCCTTTTCTTTATTTCCCTTCCCAGGACCGTCCCGTGCCTCAGTTCTGAACACTCCCTTGTCCTTTACCTCAGGGCTCTGCTCAGGTAGAAAGAAAAAGGAGCAAAGGGAAAGGGAAAATGAGGCTCAGCTGTTCTTCTCCCTTCCCTCCTTCCCTCCTTCCCTTTTATTTTCGAGGAAAGCGAAAGTGAAAGCCTGAATCTTAGGGACCCAGTCAACTTCTTACTTTGCATACCAACCCGGAACATGCCCCAGTGCCCAGAGGGAGACACAGTAGAAAAACGAATATGCTGCCTTCATTAGCCTGGCATTATTCCAGCTGACATCACTCCCCTTCACACACTCCATTCAAGTCAGACTGGTTGACTCACTGTTCTCCAAACTCAGCATTCTCTCGCCTCCGTGAAGTCCTGGGGGCCCCAAATCCTCCTCACCGCTGCTTCACAGAGTCCCCTACCTTATCTGCCACTGCTGTGGCCTCTCCCATTCTGCTACCTTCCTGCTTCTCAAATGACCATGTAGCTGCTTACCAGTTGTTTAGTTTTCCCCAATCGCACTAGTACACTTCCCTCCTCGTGGGGACTGGTTTTTCATTTCTTTGTGTTACTAGCAAGCAGCACACCACAAAGCCAGGGTGTCAAACCCAAATAGAAAGGGATCCCTGCAGGCGCATATTGACCTAAAAAGCCACAAATTAACATTCTTTGTATTGTATTTTTATTTTGTTAAATATTTCTCAATTACATTTTAATCTGGCAGCGTGTTTGACACCTCTGCAGTAAATGTTTAAATCGAATAAGATTGGGCAGAGGCCAGGGAATCTGACCCAGGAACCTAGGTTCTTTTTTGTTTTTTTAATATATATTTTTTTATTTTGTTAAACATTTCCCAATTACATGTAAAAAAATTTAACATTCATTTTTTTTTTAACATTTTGAGTTCCAAATTCTCTCCCTCCCTCCTGCCCCTACTGCAATTTGATATCAATTACACACGTGAAGTTATGCAAAACATACTTCCGTATTAGCCACGCTGCAAAAGAAAACGTAACAAAAAAAAAAGATAAGGTTTAAAAAGTAAGCTTCAATCGACATTCAGAGAAGTGATGGTGGTTGGTAATGGTGAGATTCAGGGTGTGATCATTACCATAGTTGCCTTAGGTAGAGTCATTGAGTAGGTCAGATTTAAGGAGACTGAGGAATTGGGAGGTTAGTGTTTGAGGGGAGCATCAGCATGGAAGTTGAAGCGCAGGAGTTGGGGAAGGGAGAAAGAAAGAAAATAAGGGGGGTGTGTGTGTGTAGAATTAGTATGGGTAGTGGTTGGGGGAAGGTCTCTTCAAGAACTAAGGATGAATAGTAACAATCAGGGTTCTGAATGAGGTCTCTGCACAGAGAGGACTCCAGCAGATAATGAGTTAAACCTTGTCACACATATTTCTTAATGTGTGCCTCATTACTGTGTAAGCCTACTCCTCCCATGAATGTTGCGTGTATTTGTTGAAAGGAGTGAAACCAGTCCTTAGAAGAAGGTTTTACAATAAACACATCTTTACCTTGTTATCTGAGAGTAGTAGTAGTTGCCTTCTGGGGAAATGCTATCATCTTCCTTTCTTTTTTCTATTCCTCCTCCATTTCCCCCCAAAAAAAACCAAGACAATTTACTTTTGTCCTGTGCAGTTTTCATTTTGATTTCTTGAAATATAGCTCTGAAAAACAGGTTTTAAAAAACAGAAACCTGTTATTTTATTTTTTAAATTTTATTAATTTATTTTGATTTATCAACAATCACTTCCATATGCTTTTGAGTTGAAAATTTTTCTCCCCCTTCCTCCCCTGCAGCCTCCCCAAGATGGCGCACAATCTGATATAGGCTTTACATTTACATTCCTATTAAACATATTTTCACATTAGTGAAGTTGCAAGTAAAAATTAAAACCAGTAGGAGGAACCATCAGAAAGATGAAACAAAACTCAACAGAAGGTAAAAATAAGTGATAGCGATGTGACTTCCACAGTTCTTTCTTTGGATGTGGACAGCATTTTCCATCCCAAGGCCTCTGGAGATGTCTTAGATCCTTGTAATGCTGAGAAGGGTTAAGTTTATCAAAATTAGTCATCGCACAACGTGGCTGTTATCGTGTGCAATGTTCTCCTGGTTCTGCTCACTTCACTCAGCATCAGACCATACTAGTCTTTCCAGGATTTTCTGAAGTCAGCCTGTTCATCATTTCTTATGGCACAATAGTATTCCATTACATTCATATACCACAACTTGCTCAGCCATTCCCCAATTGATGGGTAACCTCTCAATTTCCAATTCTTTGCCACCACAAAAAGAGCTGCTAGAAACCCATTATTTTTAAATGGAGCTACTTGACTATGCTTTTAAACCCAAATCATTCTGGCTTTCACTGAATGGCCAATAGGCCCAGCCCAAGCCTGCCTCGGCTCACCTTTTAGGTAAACAGCAATTGTTTTCTGCTCCAGAGTGGGCAAGGCCATAGCTTGAGGGGATGGCAGAGTTGAGGGAATCCTTTCATAGAATTTGAGACATTTCAACATTGTTGCAAAGGAGGGAGAGAGTGAATGGCTTCTGAAGGCAGGAGAAGACTGCAAAAGTCTGAAGTGGAGGACATAGCTTTCAGAAAATGAAGAGGTTCTGAGATGAGGAGGGACATTGAGCAAACACACTGAGGCGATTCAGAGGAGGGGTGCCGACAGCCCCGGGGAAACCCTGTCTAAAGGGGGGTCACAGAGTCCACACCAGAAAAAGCCATTTATTGCTCTGGTGAGTTAATTTTCCTCACACTGGTTGTGGCAGCAGTGTAGAGTATCATCAACATAGAAACTTGAGCCCAGCCCTGGGGGATGAGGAAGAATGAGAAACAGTCCACTCCAGGCTGTAGGGACAGCTGTGTTCGGGTGACCCAGGCTTTGTGCGGGGTGCTGGATCATAGATTTGGAATTGAAAGACTAGATTATCCAGGCCATTTTAAAGGTGAGGAAAAAAGACCAAGAGGGTTGATGTGATTGACCACGGTCAGACAGGTAGGAAATAGCGGGACTAGAATTTGAATCTAAGACTTGTAACTGCAAATAATGCTCTTGTAACAGTTGGACCCTCCTTGTTTTTACAGATGAAAACACTGAGTCTCAGGAGAAAAGAAAGCCAGGATGTGAACCTGGGCCCCCAACACTGGCACTGTGGGCAGGAACACCTGGTGCCAGGCAAGTCTTGGGGCAGGAGGGCAGGAGCGGAATGGTGACCCGGAGAGAGGATGGCCAGGACAATGGGAACTCCCTGAGGGCAGGGCATGTTTGTGCCTTTCTCTGTACCCGGGGGCTTCCTGAATGCTTGTAGACTTCACTAGATCCCTGGTGCCCCCACCAGGGAACACACTAACCTTTATCCTACCCTCCTAGCCCTGGGCCTTGGGCCCATGGAGCAAGCCAAGGGTTGGTCCTCTGGACAGTATCGAAAAGTTTCATAGTCTTTAGACAGGAACTAAAACAAGCTACATGGGGATCTGCCCGGGGTGGTAGGCAGGTCAGAAGGCCCTGCCTGAGTTCACTGAGCTCACCTCATGTGCATTCTTGTCTTGATTCCAACTCTGCTCATGAAGCCTTCTCTCCCTCCAGGAAGGAAATCTCCTTTCTAGCCCTACCCTCATTATTTGTCTTAGATCCTAGTGGGTGAGACAAAGGGGATCACAGAAGCTACTGGTAGGTGGCCTCCAAAGCCCCAGTAAAATACCCCCTTTCCTGGGTGCCCCCAACAGAAGGGCATCCCTATTTTGTTCTCCCTGGTCACAGGGCACGCAGCCAGTTGGCTGGGCCTAACACCTTTATCTTCACCTCCAGGCAACAAAAGCACTCAGTCACACCCACACACTGTGAAACTGCCTTTATTTTACTTGGGTCCTCACATGAACACTGGGCATGGCCCATGACACTCCACAGCATGCCCAGCTCCACACCAGCCCATCACCTTCCCAAGAAAGCAGGCAGGCCTTGCTTCACTCCTCTCCAGGCCAGCCAGGACAGCAGGAGTCACAAAGGCAGAGTGTCTGCCAGTGGGGTCTGGGCTGGGTAAAGGGGCAGAAGGGATTGGATCCACAGGGCCCTAGGGAGACCAAGGCTAGGCTCTGGGCTCCATTCTGGTCACAAGGAGGAAAAGCTGCACTCTAATCAGGGAGATAACTTGGGTGCAGAGGGAGGCGGGGGGTGAGGTAAGAGAAGCAAGTCCCTGAGTACTGGAGGAGTTAAAATGTGCCACAGTCTAAGCTGCCTGGGCCCTGCTGAACCTAGAAGGCAAGAACAGGCAACATAGGGAAGGAAGGGAGTCATCTATGGGGACCCCGCCACTGGGGCTCACTCATAAGTTACCACAGCCACCTGCACATGCCATGATGAGGGCAGCTCTCAAGGGTGCAGAAGGAGTCCCCATGGGGGACCTTGAGCAGTAAGTGCCCTGGGGGGGCGCCCAGTGATGGCAGATGGTACCTCCGCCCAGTGGGCTGCAGGGCTTACTGGAGCTGCTCCCCACTCCTGCTCCCACACATCCCATGCCAATGGCCAACCTTGTCTCTCAGAAGCCTGGAGAGAAAGAGAGAATGCCCAGTGGCCTTTTCTTGTGCGCTCTGGCCCCAACGAGGGCCTCCAGGCTATCTCAGGAAAGTATCCAACCTAGCCTGGACCGAGGGGGCTGCTTTTCCTGACACCACCTTACGCCTGGCCTTTGGCTTTACAGGCAGTGGACGGATGACAGAGGGGTCAGTCTGGAGAAACTGTGGTCAAGGGAAAAGTCCAGCAGGAAGGGGGTAAGAACAGAAAAAAATCTCTGCTCTAGGAGGACAGACACAGTGCCCACACTATCCCAGTGTACAAGAGAAACACCATCAAAAGACTGCTGAGCTCTAGCTAATGATTACCCTTGGTCCCAGAGAAGTGCTGATGAAATACTCCTTCCTCCTGCCCGCAAAGCAGTACAGAGCCACAGAGGCAGAATGTGGCAAGACTCTTGGTTACAACAGAGTTAAATAGATAGGTGTGAGGACACTTAAAGAGAAAACGACTTCGCTGTAAAAACAAAAGGCAATGATAACACTTTCAAAAACCCCAAAAGTTCAGCAGTCTCAGTCTGACTGTCCAAAGCCAGGAGATAAGAAGAGTCCCTCCTCCCACTGGAGGATATGGAAGCCACCCAGTTTTATTCAACCAGTCAGGATACGGCTGGGCTCCCAACTACATTCTTCCAGGCCTCTGGCTGGCCTGGTAGTTGTAGGCAATGCATGGGAGGGTATCATATGGTTTATACGATCTTCCCAAAAGCCATCTCCCCAGTGGCAGCCCTGGCCTCTCCCCCAGTTCCCCATGGCAAATGCAGGGTCAGAGTAGAAAGGATATGGGTTGAATATACTTGCTTCGCCCTCCAAGCCCATCAAATCCCGTTCTTACCTGTGACAATACAATAAACATATATGAATGCCTACCATATACTGAATGCTAAGATAAGTGCTGGGAGAAATAAAAAGCTTTGAGAAAAGATAGGATCCCTGACGCTTTATCATCACAATAGTGAACATTTACATAGATAGCACTTTTAAAATCTGCAAATCACCTTCATATATATTACTTCATTTGATTCTCAAAACAACCCTGTGAAGTAGGTTCTATCATTATTCCATTTTGCAGATAAGGAAACTAAGGATTATAGAGACATGTAAGGCCTTTCCTTATTTTCAAGTCTAGCACTTCCAGTGTTATCTCTCTCTCTCTCTCTCTCTCTCTCTCTCTCTTTCAAGTCTAGCACTAGGGAGATAACTAAATAGTGACTGTGAAGGAGGTAGCAGCAAGAAAGGCTCTGTAGGAAGAGGACGTGGTGAAGAAGGCCTGGCTGCTGAGCTGCTAGCCCCAGACTCAGTCAGTCTGGCCCTGGCTCTAGCTCTTGGCCCAACAGGTAGAAGGATGTTATTCTAACTTCCCCAAAAGGCCATAGGGCATGAGGGGGGTGGGTGGCAGTTCAATGCCCAGAGGCTTACTCTGGGGGGAGAGTGGCCAGCCATACTTACAGTTCCACTATTCCTGCATGGGTCCCCCAGGTTGCCCAGGGGCCTCTTCCTGCCCAGGACAGCATTCCGAATGAATGAGGGAAAGTTCCCCACAAGCTCATCATCTTGTTCTCCAGGCCAATGCTGACCCCCAAGAGAAAGACCATTCACCTGAAGGGGAAAAATCCAGGTCATAGTTAATATCTTTGACACACAGGTCTATGCACATCCCCAGAACCTCAGGGGATTTGGGAGGAAGAATCTAGAATGTTAGAGCAGGACAACACTGAGAGATCAGCTAGTACAACCATTTTGTTTTAAAACTAAAGCCCAATGGGAGGTTAATGACTTGTCCAAAGTCACCCAACTGGTTCTCAGTAAAACTTGAACTACAACACAGGTTTCTTACCAAAGCTCTTTCCACCATGCCACCCTGTGAACAGAGAGAGAACCCCAGAAGTAGACCCTCAGTGTCCTAGAGTGGCCTTCCCTTAAGTCTCCAGGGCCCAGCCTGCTACCAGTATTTAGGGCTAGGAGAAGGAAGAGTGAGAGAGAAGCACAGCTTAGTTGCTACTGCGGCATGGAAATATCCATGCTGATCCAAGGTGTCCTTGAAAAAAGAGAAAAGAGAGTTTGGAGCTGGAAGCAGACCCTAGAGTACTTAATCTACACCTTTAATTTTATAGACTTTTGGTGCCAGCCACCCCATGCTGCCAGGCCATCAGAGCGGTGCCTTTGAAACTTGCCCAGAAAGGTCTCTTAAATCCAGGAAAGGACAGAGTGACAGGCTGCTGGAGCAGGATCTAATTTATCCTTTCATATAGAGATAACATTGAATGATATTATTTGGCCTAAAATGGTGAAATGTGGCAGGATGCAGTGAAGCCCAGGTTCAGTTTCCTCCACCAATACCCACTAGTTATATGACCCTGGGCATCATCTAACTTTTGGGAAACACGGCTTTCTTATTTATAAAATATTTACATTACCTACTCCACAGGTTGTACTTTGTGCATCTCAAGGCACCACTGTATAATAATGATGTTTCCATTCTATTGTTTATGTTGATAAGGGGAAAATGGGGAAAACAAGTTCTTGGGGCCATGAAAGTGGGGAAAATTTTTTAAACAAAATTTTGTTGATGCCTTTTTATTTCCATACCAACCATGTCCTATACACCTTCATGTCTCCCAACAGATGGAAATTCTAGGCTCACTTAAACAGGAGTGCTTAAGTAGGTGCTTAAGTAAAAATTTGCTGATTGACTGAATAGATCTATCACGTTTACCTTTACTCATGTTGAGTAGAAATAATCTGGTTCATTCTGTATGCTTCCTATTTGAAAAAATTCACCTGTACAAGAAAGAATACTAAGAGGTGATGGGAGTTTTACCTTACCCTTGGAATCTTTTTTTATTAAAGGTGGGTGGGCGGGACAGACTGCCATTTGGGAAGGCTCAAGTTTGGACTTGATTACAAACCAGATTATATAATAATAATAATGTCTTACATTTGACTTAATAGCTTTATATGTGTGTGTGTGTATATACATATCTATCTATCTATCTATCTATCTATCTATCTATCTATCTATCTATCTATCTATCTATCTCCAGTTCCAATATCTCATTTAAGCTCCAGAACTGAGGACACAAATAGAAAAGCCAAGATGGTCCCTGCTCTCAAGGAGCTCACTTTTTAATAGGATTCAACATCTATAAGATTCCAAGATCACACAGGGAGTAGCAAAGAAAGAACTAAAAAATTCCAAAGTCGGACCCAAGTCCAGTACTCCTTCCCTCACTATGGTGTTCCCCACCATATCCTATATTGATGAGAGCTCTCTCACACATAGGAAGGCTACCTAACCTACAGAACACAGACATGCTAGCTTTAGAGATGCCAGAAACACCAATGTAAAGAGTCCAAAGCTAGCCAGGACAGGATGGCTCTTAGCCTTCAGGCTTGGTGATCCTCCTGGCTTTGGAGGGGTCTAGGACAGGCCAGTTCCACAAGAGTAAGTGGAGATGTCTTACCTTTGTGAGGTCTTTGTTGTCTTTTCTGGAGATGCCAGGAGTCACAGAGCTGCAAGAAAATCCAATGAGAGGGTGAGAAGCTGGCTAGAGAGCTTGTATGGGCGTGTCTGAGCTCTGGTTAAAGCTGACTGCCAGAGCCTGGGGGCCATGGTGCTAGGCCTGGCTAACCTCGGGCTCCTCCCCAAATTATTTTGACAGAAGGGGACAGATTTGCTTGGACTCCTTTGTGATACACCTTTTGGGAGCCTAGCAGCTTGCAGAAGCTTGTAAGTTTCTCAGACTAGCAGCTATGCTCAGAGTCATCCACCAGGGGGCACCCTCTTTATAAGTTAGCCAGGGTTCTGGGCACTGCTCCATTCATCCCTTCCCTTGACATTCACCAAGGATCCAGCTAGGCTCTGTATTTCCTGCTAGCAAAAAAGGGGTGGTGGTGGTGGTGGGGGGGGAATGATGGGGAAAGTCACGACATTTTAAAGATGTCAAGTAAAAGGTTTTCTCCAGTTTCATGGAATTCAAACAGTACTTAGATACGAAGACCATGTCTGTGGTGATGTTTGCTTACAAAGATCATAAAAGTTATACCAGAAGGGATGGGAGAGCTCACTTTGAGGTCTACACCTCTCACTTTACAGATGGGGATGCTCTAGTCTCTCTTGTTCATCTTTTCCTTCAGGTGTCTAGACAATGGCACTTTTGGGGCCAGCTGTCTCATAAGGACACTTAAAGGACCCATCTATTGGACTCCTGAACTCGATAAGGTACAGACAAACTGTCTTATTTAGCTCCTTTCCCCCAGGCCTGGAACACACACCACACCCCTTCCACATCACTACCTGTTGAAATATCTCTTTAGGCTCAGTTAAGATGAGCTTGCCTCAACCTTCCACTGACTTCTTTTCCCTCGAAGTTTCCTAGAGCTCTTTGCTTGGATCTCTCTTGTAGCTTGATTACAACATTTCAATCTTCTATCAGATTTCATTTGTGCATGTCATCTCCCATGAGATTATAAATCTCTTGCAGGCAGGGGCCCTGTGATTTCTCGCCTTTGTCTCCACTGCAGACTGCACACAGGCGTGTGTGAACCCTTGCTGAACAGAGACGGGGAGTCTCTAAGGACCCGTTCAACGGCACCTCAGGCTTTCCGATGGCCGCGTCAAGGGGTCAAGTGTGGGATCCATTTGTTGTCCCCCTCCCTCTGTCCCTTCCCATCACTACTGATGACATCATGAGCCTGAAGTGTCTCTAAAACGACAGGAACTAATTGTCATCTACCACTAAATCTTGGGCCTTCATTTCATCTCTCCATTCAACAGACGTTGAAACAAGCAGGTATTTGGCAATTTGGGGGACTTCTTGAGTTTGCTAACTGACCCTTTCCTCCCCTTCACAGATTTCTTCTAACAGCACGAGACTCCCTCTGATCCTGGAGGATGTTAATTTTACCAGACTGAGAATCTATTCAGTTTAGCTGGTTCACTACAGCTGCTACCCACAGCTGAGGTCATCCCCTCCCCCTCCACCCACCCCCAGTTTATCTCCTTTTTGGGTCCTCTCACTTTGTAACAGACATGGACCTTGTTTCTCGGCCCAAAGTCTTTCCTGACCTCCGATCCACCCTATACACAGCAGATTATTTTCCCTAACATTGTTTTGATCATGTCACTCTTTGTTAAAAAAAATTCAAAGAATGTTTTTTATGAATGTTTATGAAATAAAGTCTGACTAAATTCCTTCAATCCAGAATTCAAGGCCCTCCCCAGACTAATCCAAATTGACCTTCCCAGCCTTATCTCACTTTCTCATACTCTGCTGAAGCCAAAATAGGCTACTTCCCCACTTGCCAAATAGGCTCTATTCCTTCCTGCCTCAGTGCTTCTGCTAACACTGTTTCCTCAACTTGAAGTACCCATTCCCCGATTTACCCATCAAAATCCTACCCATCCTTCAAGACCCAGCTCAAATACCACTGCCACCATGAAGCTTCCTCTGACCTCTTTGTAGAAGTGATCACCTCCTCCTCAACTCTTACAGTTTTTGGTTTTTCCCTTCCTTAAATGCAAATAATTTGAACACAAGGAAGGATGTTATATCTCATGACTTACCAAAGCTAGCGATGTGAAAGTAGGAACCACATCTTATCCCACAACTTCAACAGTACCTTAGGCATAATTTAGAATCATAGGATTGGAAAGGGTCTTAGAGGTCACCTAGTGAAACCCTCTACCTCACACTGCTAATCAGTCAGCAAATGTTTGTTGAATAAACACTAGGTTCACTCCCTCCAAACATCCCCCTAAATTTTAGCACCTGTTTTTAGGTCTACAGAGTAGGCAATTAATGGCACAGGAAGCCCAGCAGGAATCTCATCTGGGCACTCAGTCCCAAACTACTTTTCCTGCAACCCCCCAAGTGTCCTCTCTGAACTTCAAATCTGTTCTTTCTTTAGCTTGTACCAGACGCCCCAGTTTGTTTTTGAAGGATTCTCTCTTTTTGATGAAACTCCCCAACTTCTTCTAATCAGCCCTTTCTGACTTAAAGAACACTTCTCAGCCAGTTATCCTTTCTGGGACACATCAGTGTAGCAGACAGTGTGCTGGGCTTGGGAGTCAAGGGACCTGAGCTGGAATCCTGCTTCAGACACTTAGTGGCTATGTGCAAGTGGGCAAGTCTTTTCACCTTTCTCAGCCTCAGTTTCCACATCTATAAAGTAGGGTAATAATAACACCTATTTCACAAAGTTGTGAGGATCAAATGTGATAACATACACAAAGTGCATTGCAAACCTTAATGAGGCTAAACAAATGTCAGCATCATCATCATTATTATTCTGACCTCTTAGCAGCTGCCTATCAATGATCTTTTCCTTGGCATCAATCTCCACCTCTTTGGGTGACTATTTTTTGTTTGACTATTAAGGCTTTCCATTCACCTTGAATGCAATGGCAGTTGAAGACCGGCCCTGTAGAGAGCTGCTACCTACTACGGTGGTCTGAGTCAAATTAAATCTCATTCAGACTGCCTCTTTTAAACACCACAATATGTCTATATACCTTTCCCCTGCCCCCAACCCCAGCACATTTTCCAGACAGGAAGCCTAAAGAAATGGTACATAGTCTCTCCTCATTTCTCAGCTGGCTGCACAACCAAGACTCTTCTCCACCAAGCCCCTCCCACCGCCTTTTCAGCTTCCTTTTGTGGGCTATCTTCCCCCATTAGATTGTAAGCAACTTGAGGGCAGGGATTATCTTTTTTTCACATTTGCATCCCCAGTGCTTCGCACACAGTAGGTGTTTAGTGTTTATTGACTGTCTTGACCTCAAGAGTACGATATTTGGCCAAAAGAAGGCACTTTCTGCACTTGACTACTTAGCTAAAAGTTATCACTTCAGGGTTTGGAGCTAAGTTACCTTGGACTCTAGGCTCTCAGACGCTGGCCTTGAAGTAAAGTGTTCTGCAGTCTCCGTCAGTTTCCCTCTTACCAGTCTCAGCAGATCTGTCCTGTCACCAGTTCTAACCACCTGTTTGCCTGGGTCATTGCTCATTATTCTAATGACTGGCTGGTCTAGACCGTGTCCCTGATGTTCTCATCTTCAGATTTTGCCTTGAAAATCTATTGCATTATTGCTCAACACTCTCTTGTTAGTTTTTTATAAGAAACTAGTTTGTCCTGTGTGGAAATGTAAAGGTATCAAGGAAGAATGGGGAAAGAGGGTAGCAGGACCCCAAAAATGCCTTTAAAACACACTGTAACTTCCATAAGACCCCAACTTATAAATTAAACTCTGTGTTTCCTTACTCTCTGAGCCTGCATGTCTGGTCTGTTTGTTAAAGGGCTGAACACTTAACGAAGATTGTGTGTGTGTGTGTGTGTGTGTGTGTGTGTGTGTGTGTGTGTGTGTGTGTGTTCTTTTGTCTAGGCTTCTGATTTCATTGGTGCAGGGAATCCCCTTGAGGGGGGGACCTTCTGTATTAGTTCAGAGCAGCAGCTGCTCTGTATGTGTACGTACGTGAACACACACACACACACACACACACCCCCCACCCACCCATGAAGTCCCATAGTGCCCCACTTTCTGCATCTCTCGATGTCAGTTTCTCCCCCTCTTCTGAAAACCAGCCACATTCTCTCAGCACATCAAGTCTCTGAAGGGATTTGCTTCTGTTCTTTGCACCTTTGTAGCTTAGAGGCTACATAACAGCAACAATAACAAGAAAAGTACTAGAGAAACCTGAATCATCATTGGTTACCATGGCAGTTCTAGGTTGTGCACACTCAGGATCCCTGCCACAGTTTTTCCAGACATCCCTGAGTTCGGGCAACAGGCCCTTCTGACATTCAGACACCTGTCTGGTGGTTTTCAATTGCCAGCATGCTTGTGACTGTACTCTGAAAAGCCTATCTCCTTACTGCTGCTCAGAGAGGCAAATACAAAAACAAACAGGGAAATGAAGGTATAGGAGGAAGCCAGCAGAGCAAGAAGAGTAAGATGTTGGCAACTTCCAGAGCAGTGGTTTCCAAACTTTCTTGACGCACATCCCCATCAGCAAATAAATTCTGAACGTGCATCCCCAATATACACCCATTTACCTACTTATAAATCTATTTTATATGTATTACTGTAGTAATAATTACACACATTACACAACTTGCATGAAAAAACACTTTAAAGGATGAGATAAAGATGAAATAATATTTGATCACAGAGTTTACTGAGAAGGGAAGTGACATGGTCAGACCTGTGCTTCAGAAGACAGGAGACTTGAAGGTAGAGCAAAGAGGAGCTCATCCCAAGAGTCCAGGTCAGAGAAGGTTAGGGCTTGAACAAGTGTCAGCTGTGGGAGCAGACAGAAGGGGAGAGACGCAAGAGAGGTTTCAGACATAGGAACAAGATCTGACAATCTACTGGATATGTGGGGTGAAAGAGAATGAGACTTTGATGATGACACCAAGGTTATGAACCTGGGTGACTAGAAAGATGGTAGTGACCTTAACAATAATAGAGAAATTTGGCAACTCTGAGATTTCACCTTGCCCCCTGCAAACTGGCAAAAATAACAAAAAGTGACAACAGTCAACGTTGGAGGGATTGTAGAAGGATAGGCACACTAACACATTGTTGAGGGAGGTGTGACACAGTACAACCATTTGGGAAAGCAATTTGCAATTATGCAAATCAAGTAATCAAATATCCATACCATTACCAGAGACTCCATTACTGGGCTTACACCTCAAGGAAGCCATTGATAAGAAAAAATTCCCCATGTGCTCCAAAATATTTGTAAATAGCACTTCCTGTGATAGCTAACAGTTGGAAACAAAGAAGATGTCCATCAACTGGGGAATGGATAAATAAAGTGTGATGCATCAATGTAATGAAATATCACTACACTCTAGAAAATGATATGTAATAAGTCCGGAGAAGCATGGAAAGCATTAAATGTATTGGTGCAGAGTGAAGTGAGCAGAGCCAAGAAAACCACATACCCGTTAACTACAACAATGTAAACAGAAAGAACAATGGCACACCAAAAAGACAAAAGTAAACAAACGTACATAAGATCAAATGGGACTCGAAGAGAAGTAAGAAGACACCCTCAACCCACCCCTTCATGGAGGTGGGAGGTCCACAAGTTTTATGCCTCGCATGTGTTTTTGGACTTTTTCAATGTACCAATCAGTTGTGCTGACTTTTTTTCCCCTCTCTAAAAAATACTATTTATCATGGGGGATGATTCTTTGGGAGGGGGAGGGTATATATGTGGGATACTATGGTGATGTAAGAAACAGAAAATATCAATAAGAACTTATTTAAAAAACAGTAGTAGGGACATTTCAAAGAGAAATGAGTTTGCAGTAAAGATAATGAACTTGAACTCAGGAATACCTGACTTCAAAATCTAGCCTCAGACACTTGCTAGCTCTGTGATTCTGGGCAAGTCACTTAATCTTTGTTTGCCTCAGTTTCCTCAACTGAAAAATGGAAATAACAGGACCTGCCTTGCAGGGTTGTTGTGAGGATCAAATAATACAGTATTTGTAAAGCACTCAGTACAGTGCTTGACACATAGCAGGTACTATATAAATGCTTATTCTCCTCCTTTTCCTCCCTTCCCACCCAAAATGAAAATGGAAAACACAAAGCTCTAACATATTAGTCATTGCCTGGCGGTGCAGAATCTGCCCTCAGAATGGTATCAGGTTCTCTTATAACTATCATGAGGAGCCGATGCCTGGCTCAGAAAGATAATGGTTGGTAGCTCTGCACGGCACAGGGAGAGAGCTGAGTAAGGTAGTGTGGAGGGATAAAGTAGGTGTGGTAAGTCTCAAAAATGAGAGTACCATGGGGAGAGTGGGATATGACCCACATCCCCAGGCCATCACACCCCCACCCCCAGCTTTGGAGTACTGGCAAGAGGAGTTAGTGCCCTTTTTTTTTATCTCTCCTCTAGCTGTTTCTTCCTCTTTCCTTCCCCTTATTTCTGTAAAAAGGGGGATTTGGGAGCTGGTAACAAAAGAAAATGACCATGAATAGCAATGGCCTACCCACCTCCCCCGTCACCACCATTAAATTCTTTGCAGGCTAAGCAGACCCTTAGTGGGCTTCCCCAGTACAGAGAGCCAGGACAAAGAGCATTCACCTTGACTGCTCTAGGCGGAGCTTCTTAGCTGGGACTAGCTTGGAGCTGTGGGGCTGGGCTGGTGGTGTGTCCACATCAAAAGAGGCATTCAGATCAATATCCTCACCACGGGCTGGCTGGCGCAACTTTAGGCTCAGCATTTCCACAGGAGCTGGGCTAGGAAGAGAAAAAGTAACCATTTACTGTAGAGGACACACAAGAGTATGAAAGGCAACTTCATCTAACTTCTTCCTCTTTTCAGAGTTATAATATCTTCTTCAGGCTCTAACAGTGAGTGCACAGCTAGGTTCAATTTATTCACTGTACACAGGGTCCTACCCTACCTACTAAGGTAAGGCATCTTCAGGAACTCTGAATAATACACTTTCAACAGCCTCTCCCTCTCTCCAGTGTCTAGGGGACACTACGTATGCCCATAGTAGGGATCTACTATGGGCCTTGAATATATTATGTACCTAATAAACATTTGTGGGAAGAACAAACTATTTGATCCCTTCAACTCGATGTATGCAGGAACAATAACTTTTACCAGATATACCTGAAAGAGTCATCATCAAGCATCAGAACTCAAGAGAGATTAAACTAACAATCCAAACAGCAAAAACCAAATGGATGACAGATGTCTATTTCTCAGATTTTGACATAGCAGTGGATTAACTTGCTGTGCTGCCCTTCCATCAGAACATATACACTGGGAGTTGTTGTAAACAGACAGTGAGCTAGGCCCAGAGCCGAACAGGAAGAGAATGGGCTGGACTGAATTTGGCAAACATGCAATGCTTTCAATAATTCTAAGCTCCTCCCTGCTTCAAAAGCCCAACTTTTCATACCAGTATTCTCCTTGTATAGCTATAAATCATAGCTCACCATGATGCCAAAAGAATAAGGGCAATGGAAAAACACATAGTGGGTGTAAGTTAGTCATTGATAACTTGAGCATGGCAAGTGGTGTGGAAGATATCATCAAGGGGCCACATGACCAGAAAAGGCCACAAGCTGGGAAGAGAGCAAAAGATAAAAAATGGACAACTTGGATAAGAGATTCCTGAACACTGCATGGGTACCCAGAAGATATTAAAAGAACCAGAGGAAGGCCTCTGGCATGCTGGATAAATCTTCTATAGAGAATATCTAGAAAGACAAGGACAAGCAACACACAGGATCAGAAAGTTTGGTGGGTTATGATCTCTGCCAGAGCAAAGAGCGCTCTCATCAATGCGATCACAGACCCACTGAAGTATGACATACTTCAAAGTGCAGAAATATCTGAAAGGGTGAATTCAAGGTCTATCCTCATTCCTTCCTGAATCATAGCCCATGTGGCTGAGAGGAAGCAACAGAAAAGCCACATATAAAACCAGAAGCCAGACTCAAACACCAGATTTCTCCTCTCAGGTCCCCTCATTTTCTAAATCGTTCTTGGGGCACCGCTATCTACACAAAGAGAGCTTGGTACACCATGCAACAGTAGAGGCAGGTCCTTTTAGACAACAGGACAACTGGCAACATTTCCAAGATGTGGCTGCCTAGAGAGACCTACTTTGAAACGGCCAACTTCTGTCTCTCTCCCCTAGGGTCCCTCACAGCCGTTCCACATTTCCTTTTTTAAAGCTACTGGTACACAGACACTGAAGCAGAGGGCCGTGTTTGACGAGATTATGTGAAGCATCACGAAGACAGATCAGGGAACTCATAGGTTTAATCACTGGAGCGAGGAAAGCTGTGGTGGCAGCCTAAGAGCCCTTAAGAAGGAAGGGGAATAGGGGAGCACATGGTGTACACAGCTGGGAAACGGTGAGAAATTCAATCCATTTTACCTTGAAATGAGTTCTTTTCTTCTAGCTAGTTAGAGAGCAATTTTGTTTCTAGCCAAACATGCCATCCTTCCTTTTCTACGCTTGCTTTACATAAGGGCAGGCAAACTTCATTGAGTCAATTATGAAAAATGATATATTACTATATATTATATGTGATAAAATAATGTATATGTGTATATGCATGTATGTGTATGTGCACGCATGCATTTACATGCGCACACCCACAGACACAGGATTTAGAGTCATAAGACTTGAAATCCTGATTCTGCCTACCTTCTTATACCTGTGGGCAAATAACTTCCCCTGTGAGCCTCAATGTCCTCATCTGCAAAACGAAGGGAAGACCTAGATGGTATTTAAGGTGCCTCCTAGTTCTGACACCCATGATCCAATGAGATCTTCCTTTTCTTAAGTCACTGGTTCAACAGATAAAACTAACTGCCCATAAAAATGAGCCCTGTGTGAATGTATTCCTAGTCTAACAGGGCAGTGGTCAGTTCATTGCTTTTGGCGGGAATATACTTTGTGGAGGTGTATGTTTGGGTTATCTTTTAGGAAATGTTTATTTTGTTGAAAACAAAAAAGAAAAGGAACCTATGTGCTGTAGCAATGCAAAAGACTACTGGAGAGGCCAACCAGTACATATGGCTCTAATTAGCCAGGAGAATGAACCTATGCACTCCCAAGCAGCTTCAAGCCCAAAAGATGGCTGTTCTCTTGTAATCCCTAATCCCAGGGCCTTGGGCAAATCACTTCTCTAAGTTTCAATTTCTTCCTCTATAAAGACAGGGACAATAATACTTACACTACCTGCCACACATAGATGTTATAAAGAAAGCGCTTTGGAAACTTTAAAGCACTGTAGAAAGATGAATTCTTACCATAAGATTTTTGTGTTGTTGGGTTTGGGTTTTGGGGGGTGGGAGGCAAAGCACAGTTGACATAACATAGCAACAACAGATGGAGACTCCCACACCATCTAGTCACAGATTGTCACCTCTGAGCTTTTATAGACAACAGAGATGGGGTTTCAGGTTCAGCTTAAGTTTTTCTGATAGCATGTCTGCTTCTGACACCATTCCAGATCTAAGAAATACTATTCTATGGCTTTGTCTTACATGTGGCCCCTGACCTTTTGTCTCTCATTGTGCTAAAATTCAGAAAGTGCTTGGGCTACTCACCTTAAAAACACCATTCTACTACTAGCTGGTCACCTCCGCACCTTCTTTAATTCAACAACCATTTATTAATGCACTGGGATATGTTCCTGCTGTCAAAGTGTGTACGTTTAACGTAGGGAGTGGAGGGGAAGAGACAATAAATGCCAGATAAGTAAACACAAAGCATATGACAAAGAAATACAAAGTAATTTCAAGAGAGAGAGAATGAACAACTTAGGTGTTCAGAGGAGGAAGGGAATCAGGAAAAGTCTTATTCATGTAGGAGCTCTGCTCTGGAGTAAGTGAAGGGTCCTAAGGAGAAGAAGTGACCATGAAAGCATTTCAGGCACAAAAGTCACCATGTACAAAGGCAGGGAGAATCTTGTGTACAGGGAACAGCTAGCTGTCCAGTATGACTAGAACAGTGTGTCGACAGGAGCAATAGAACTGAGATGGAAAAGGTAGGAGGGAGCCAGATTGTGGAGTACTTTAAAAGCAAGCTAAGGTTTTATATTTTTTATACACACACACACACACATTTTATTCATATATATATACACACACATATATATTTTATTCTAGAAGTAATAAAGTTGGAGCAGCTAGGTGGTGCAGTGGATAGAACGCTGGCCCTGGATTCAGGAGGACCTGAGCTCAAATTTGGCCTCAGACACATAACACTTACTAGCCGTGTGACCATGGGCAAGTCACTCAACCCCATTGCCTAGGCCCCCCCCCCCAAGAAGTAATCGAGTAATAAACTGAAGAGTTTTTTAATCTCCTTAGGCCATTCCAAATGGTACCATCAGTATCTTCTGCCTTGGTGACATAATCAATGGGGCCACACATTCAATTCTCTGCCTGCTCTTTGGCACAAGCTGGAATTCCAAATACAAACTGCTCACATCCTAGACCTAGCCCCTTCCTGGGTCCCAACTGTTAGATTAATAGCCAGCTTATGTTTTCACAGCTTCACATTTGTTATCCCATTTGTTCAGTCCAACAATCTTGTGAGGTGAGCACTATTATTATTATCTGTACCTTACAGATGGGGAAATGAAGGCTGAGTGACCTGCCCAGGATCACATAGCTGGTTAAGTCCCCTTGGCAGGATTTATAGCTGGGTCTTCCTGACTCTCCAGCCAGTAAAATGTACCAGACTGCGAGCTCCTCCCTTGCAGGAGACCAGATAGCTCTGGTCTCCCCAGCACCAAACCCGAATGCTTACTTAAACGTATCGGTTGGGTTAAGCGGCCACCTCCCCATCCCCACGCTGACCCGTGACATCTCTGTGCAGCCACCGTCTGCACACTCTCACTCTCATCTGCCTGCTTTGATTCCTTTTCCCCGGCTCCTATGCCTTTTTAAGCTTCTCTGTATGCAAAACCACCTTTCCTCGCCTGTCATTTCCTCTCCTTCAAATCCCTCCCCAATGGTTGCCTATGGTCTCACACTGGCTCAAAAATAAGGGACAGAGCAGGAAGCAAAGGATAAGACAAGAAAACCGTTTTGAAGACCGCTCTCTCTCTCTCATCAGAGAGAGTGAGTCATCTTCATGGATTTCTAACATCTTGTTTTCTCTGGCAAATTTACTTGGTTAAACAGCTCTGTCAGGGACAGCATGTCCTGTGCACTATACAGGGTTTACTTGGCTCACTGTCAGCTTACGGAGGCTTAATGTTCAAGGGACATGACATAAATTCATTTTTCAAGAGCTGCTGTTTTCCAGAGTCAGAAGGGAGGCCTTGGTTAGATAAGCTGACTGTAATAGGGCAACTGAAGTCTCTGCTATCAGTTCAAATAGCAAAAAAGAGACCTTTAAAAAATTGTGCTACTTTTATTAACAGCTTGGTAGAGGCAGTTGAATGCATAATGATCTGCCATTTTCATAATTCTACAATCTCAAAGATGGACCTTTTGGCCAGGGTTTACCATAAGCCTCCTAAACAATGGAAGGAGGCCAGCATGGCTCACGAGGTAGCTTATCCAACTTGTCAAGTCAGAAAACTGACTTCAGAAGGGTAGGGACCATATTTTATTTAAACTTTGTATTTTTCCCAGGATCTAGCACAATGCTGTGTATTTATAAAGTGCTTAATAAATAAAATTATTGATGGGGCAGCTAGGTGGCGCAGTGGATAGAGCACTGGTCCTGGACTGAGGAGAACCTGAGTTCAAA